TCTGTGACATCTTTATCCATCTGCCTTCCTGATGGATGGTGCCAACAGCACTGATAAATGTATTTATCATCATATCCTTTTTTTTTTTTTTTTTTTTTTGGTATTTCTGGGAAGGATCTACATACAGGGTGTTCCGGGTCTCACTACTAGACTGGACTCGTAGTGATCCACCTGTTTATAGCCTTCCAAGAGCACATGGGATTACAGGCACACGCCACCACCCCCACCCTCAATTGCCGTCTCAGCAAGCCTCAGGGGTGGGGCTGGCAAGACAGGCTTGAGGATCAAACCCCGGCCCCGTGCACCTGCTTGCAGGGGCTTTAATCCATTGAGCTATTTGGCCAGTCCACAAAATAACTTTTCTTTTTTTAAAGGGCTGGAGATATAACTCAGTGCAAAGGCCCTAGGTTTAATCCCCAGTACCACAGAGCGCAAGACAGACAGAGCCACAGGCTGAGAGACAGAGAGCCACAGATAATCCTGCATTACTCAGGCAGGCCCATATGACCACAAAGGGCTACAAGTGAGGACAACCGAGGTAGAAACGTCAGAACCAAGCAAACACAAGAGAAATGGACAATGCAAGAAAATGGACTCTTCCTATTTTTTAGTTCTTTATAAATTCTAGAGAGCAGACCTTTGCGTGCTTGTTAAGATTTTTTCCAAATCTGTGGGTTATCTTTTCACTTTGTTGGTAGTAAAGTCATATTAATATGCTGAGCTACGAAAGGCTCAAGTCAACAACTTCTGCAGATGACCCACTACTATTGTGGGCTGCTAGACTGTGTTGGATTGTTTTGCTGAATTCACACACCTATAGTACTTAGATGCCAATGGGATACCCATCTCTGTCAGGACTAAACAAAAAAAAAGGGATACAAAGGAAGGACCATCTTGTAATTGCATATACAGAATAGTTAGGTATAGTTAAGTAGCTGTATTTGTATATACAGCTACTTTTGCTTAATTCAATGAGAAGAAAGATGTGTACTGACAGTGTTTGGACAGGATATCCTGTCTGCTTCTTGTGCTATGGATAACCACTACGAAGATAACAATGTACAATATATTACTTAGTGAAACTGTTCTTTAATTAGTTTTGAAACTGTCCCATTGCTATTTGTTTCTCAAGAAAAGAAACTCTTCCCGGAGACCCAGTAAGCACTGCCGCCCTGCTGGCCTCTAGGTTTTTGACCAGTCAGAAAGATCCCTGTCAGCTGCTGGCCGCCAGAACTGAGATCCACCGGAACTGCTTCAAAGCATCAACTCTGTAGTCATCTGTCGCAGCCACAACAGTAAACACACACTTGGTGATTCTGCTACCTTTAGTTTATGCTAGTCTATTTTTTAAACAGATGCAATTTCTAACTTATGTAAGATTATTTAGCATTATAGCCTTTTACAAAGGCAACTTCACATTTGAATCTAATAAATGCATCAATTTCCAAAAATTTAAAAGTGATCCACATCAGATTAGAGGAAAAAGCGGAGACTTGAGAAAAGAAAACCTGTGAGCAGAGGCTGGTTAACAGCGTGGCAGTGAGCTGTGGCACGGGCGTTCCGGGGAGACGCGAGCAGCCAAAAGCTACATCCTGCGGAGTGCGGGGAGAAAGGGAGTCTTCAAGGTCCGCTGGCCGCCACGACCCTGCACGGCCGCACACGTGCAGCAGGGTCACTGGAAGGCCCTACGCAAGGGAAGCACAGACCGGTGGCCAGGGAGAATCTGTGGGAGGCACAAAGGACTAGAGACTAAGAGCTGACAACAGCAGGTGAGACCGTGAGGAGACGAAAAGACAGGAGTAGCACTCAAGGCAGCGGCTGACGGGGACAGGAAGACAGGAGCAGAGGCCTCAGGACGTCCAAAGAGGTCCGCCCTCCTCTGCAGCAAGAGAAGCGAGCTTGAGGTCGAGGAACCTGAAACCTCTAAACAATCCTACTCTTCTGGGCGTTTCTCAGCACATAACATTTTCACTTTACTTTTTACCATACAGAACCTTAAAATATTTACCTTTTCTTCATTGACTTTTAATGCTTGTATTTGGGTCTCCAGTGCTTTGATTTGTGCTTCAAGCTGTATCTCCCTTTCTTTCCCATCCTGAAAGAGCTTCTGTGATTCTTGAAGGCTGACGGCCAAGCCATCCTTCTCATCTAGGACATTTAAAACATTTTATAAACAATAGCTTGCTATACAGGGGCTGTAGAATCCTGGTCAGAACTGTATCAAGTGTTATTGATTGATTGATTGATTTTTTTGTGGTGGAATCAGGGATTGAACTCAGGCCCTTGCACTTGCCAGGGAAGCACTTATTCCACTGAGCCATCTCCCCAGCCCCTCAAGTGTTAGTGAATTAAATTATTTTCACACAAGTGAACTTTAGTTGATTAGAGAAAATAAGAAAAAAAAAAAGATTTAAAAAATACTTGAATGACTCGAAAAATAGTTTAGAGAACCAGCAGCACTGCCTTGAAAATCTTTACTGTATGCCCCTTGGGGCCAAACGATTGCCTCATAATTTAGCACTTTAACTGAGAAGCTACATAGGTGGAGCAAAACCTTGCTAATCAAAGGCTGTACCTGAGGACCCATCGCTTCCTAAAGGTACTCGCCATCAACTCTTTATTCAATCTTAAACTCTTCCCACAACTTTGTTCTAACAGCTCACAAGCTCTCTCAAAATCAATTTTGTGAGCATCACAGAAAAAGAGCTGGCCACTATCCACTTAATTTGAAATGAGCTGGAATTCTGTCACAAAGTTATTCAACAAATCCAAGTCAGACACTAGCCAAAATTAGAGCAGGAAGAGGGCGGCTGTGAGGCACGGTGTAGCTCCTCCCCTGCGGCATGCTGAGGCACACCTGTCACTCTTCTGTTCCAGCCTCCTGCCGGGCTCACCTGCAGGCCCAGACCACGCTGCTCGAAGGCTCGGTGAGAAGGGAGTCCTGCCCCCAGGTAGCACACGGGAGCCTGCAGCCAGCGGGGGCAGGTTGTTCTCAGCGCAGATAAAGAGTGGTCAGGGATTCTACAGCTGAGAGAGGAGAAAGGTGGCAAAACGGAAGGGAAGGAGGAAAGAAGCCTGGGACTACAAAATGTGGATTCTAGAGGGAAGCAAGCCAAGAACTCGGACGGTCCGGGCAGGAGCCTCTGACCAGACCAAGGGAGGTTAATAGAAATGAAAACACACAAAGATAAAAACCTAAAAATGCAAAATGAGGTTAGCAGACACAAGACACCTAGCCCCGCCACAGCTCATGAGTCACATGCCCAGCCCTTACCATCTTACCTTTGATCATCAGAAGCTGGTGGTTCAGATACCGAATCTGACGCTCACTGTCACTTAACTTTTCAGCTAAGTTACCCAGTTGTCTCTCTTTTGCCTTGTTAAGAACCCGAAGTTGGACAATCTGCACATTCTCTGCACAATCTGCTTTAGAATGAAAGATCACTGATCAGATCAAAACAGATCACAATATAAACATGTGGTCCCTTAGGACCATTTCTCAAATTGCAGGTACAACTTCTTACATGGTCATGAATTTGGTTTTGTGGACTGTAGCAGATTTCAAAAAATGAAGATAAAATAAAAACATATCAGAGTACATCATGTACTAAGAAAAAGTACTTTGTAGGGCCAGCCTGATAACTCAGTGGACTAAAGTGCAGAGGCCGGGGTTTGATCCCCAGCATGCCGTGCCAGCCCCGCTCCCAGGGTGCACTGTGATGGTGATTTGAGACTGGGCATGGTGGCGCAAGCCTGTAACCCCAGCACTTAGGAGGCTGAAAACAGGAGAATCACTACGAGTCCAATCTATGTGGTAAGACCCTGTAGATCCTGTACTAAATACAGAAGAAAAGTACATTGTGAAAGATTTGTTGCATTTATTGTGACAGTTGGGCCGTGGACTTGACTGTCTTAAAACCCCCAGGGGCAAGTAAAGCTCGCTCTGGGTGTGTTGGGGTGGATGGTGCTAAGGGACCTGGGGTCCTGTGCCTGCCCCCCCCCCCAGGTGCTGTCCCCTGCTCTGCTTCACGGCGGCCATGAGCTGAGCAGCCCTGCTCCCCAGACCCTCCTCCATGAGGTGTTCCCCTCTGGAGCAGCCAACCACACACTGAGGTCCCCATAACTGTGAACCAAACCAGACCTCTCCTCTCTCACATTGCCACATCAGGTATCTTATATCAGCGACAGGAAACTTGCCTAATATAGTTACATACATTTATTTATATTGCTCTGTAGTGTAGACTATAACAGTGCAGAAGATGAACCTGCAATGGGTCACTGCCACAAACATGTGACAGTCACCAGTTTTACTGTCAGCCTGAAACTACATGAACAGTGTAGTCAATTAAAAATCGGGTCGGGGAGATGGCTCAGTAGGATAAGCGCCTGACTGGCAAATGCAAGAATCTGAGTTCAATTCCTGGTTCTGCCAAAAAAAAAAAAAAAAACCTCTAAAAATCGGTACATGACAACTATAACAGAAGAGGGTAATACACTCTCATAAAATTAAAAACAAGAAAGCCACATCAGCTTCCATAACGTCATTTTTAAAGAAAATCTCAAGATACCCTTCTCAAAACATTTTATCTTCATCCAGGGTGGGAAATACGTTGTACTTAACGTGTGTCAGCACACAACTGTTGTATTAACTAGCAAATAGAGTAACAGAAGATTTGGAGGACTTCAGAAACAATAAGGTCATAGTGATTGGTACTTCAGCTACACAATGATATATACTCTTCATTTCCTGCTAGGCCAACAGTCCTGCAAGCTTGCAGACAGATGTACCTAGAAGTTTTCGCTACCTGCTAACAAAATGATCTGGTTTTCTTTTGAATGAACATATGGTTAAAAAAACCTGAAGATGACAACTCTGTCATAGGTCAAATTCCCCTCAGGCCTTCCAGTAGGGGTAGCCCAAAAGTAAACGGTCTCCAAGTTCCACCTTTCTAATTCAAACTCTTTTTTAAAAAGGCTCTCACTAATTAGCTATAGTCACCACACTTGGCTCTACCACTAAATTATTTTATTGACTTCCCAATGTCAACTTAGGCAATTATGTAACCAACTTTAAAAAAAAAAATCAACTTGATCAAATGCAGACTGCTCAGGAAGGCGAGCAGGACTAAGCAACAGAACCACAACTCAGTGCAGAGGAACAGAGGAGGCAGGCCCAGCTGTGACACTGACTCAGCCTACAGCCAGTGACACCCTGTATGCTGGCCACTTCCAGACAGGCCCCCGGTATTTGCTGCCAAGTCTTCAGAGAAACATTCCACGAACTCGTGGCAGAGAAGTCAGAGTCTCTTTGCCATAGCCTAGGTGACCCAGCGTATCTGGCTTCACATTTCCCCTATTAATTAAACAAATAGGGGCTGGGGAGATGGCTCAGTAGAATAAGCACTTGCCTGGCAAGGGCAAGAGCCTGAGTTCAATCCCCAGTTCCACTAAAAAAAGAAAAAAAGAAATACACATACATACATACATACATACACACACACACACACACACACACACTCTCTCTCTCTCACACTCACACTCGCAGTCATACTCTTAACATCTAGAATCATGATGCTCTTCATGTGCAATGGTTGGGAATTATTTAATAAGGCAGGCTACATAACAATAAAAACTAGATGCATAAACACACTAATGCTGGGTAAGCACTGTACAAGTTCTCATTTTTTTTTAATACCAAAACACTTCATTCAAAATTCTCTAGTAGAAACAAGCACTTTTCTTACTGTCCTTTATATACACTCTGCCAAAAATCAAAATGAGAACAACTGGGACAGGACTGGGGAGATAGCTTGGCGGTCTAAGCACCTGCCTGGCAAGCACAAGGACCCAGGTTCAGTACCCAGTACCGCATGTTGTGCCGGCCCCAGAATCGTGGCCCACCATGCCGACCACCAAAACCAGGGGTGGTGGGGCACGCCTGCAATCCCAGCACTGCAGAGGCTGAGACAGGAGGATCACTGCGAGTCTGAGCTGCATACTGAGACCTTGTACTAAATAAACAAACAGAACATCTGGGACATACCTAGGTCTGATTCTGAATGTAAAGTAATTGATATAAGTTGGTTCACTATTATACTGAACTGTAAAATCCAGAAAAGGGAAGACAAAATTGGCTGATTTATTAAATTTCATTTCTAAAAAATGAAGAATTTGAGAATGAGAAAACTACTTGTTTGCACAGTGAACTTCAGTAAAAAAAAAGTACAAAAACTTTGAAAACGCTTCACAAGCTAAATGACTAAGATACATACAGCAGCTAGAAAAATTTTAACTTATTTTCATGATGGAAATATCACATATATAAGAACATGGTAAATCCCATGAACGTATCTCCCACATCAACAACCAGGAAGCCCTGGCCAGGTCTGCCTCAGTACTGACGCCAACATTTATTTACTCCAAGAACATATTTTAAGTAAATTTTAGGCCTCTTCTCAGGCTATTGATAGGTATATCAGTATATGTATGGGCCTCTAAAAATAAGGGCTCTTTGAAACACCAATTATGATTCTACTATCTTATTTAAAAAATAATTCTTTCACATGCATATAAATACCCACTCGGCGTTCAAAATTTTCCCATCATAATAAAATGAATATACGATACCCACTTTCATGGGCTCCTAAAAATTGTTGCTGCAGGCCTTCAAATGTGTCGCATCCCGCTACCTCCTGGGCTGGCGAGCTACTGTCCTTGACAGGAGCTTGGTACGGTTTATATGTCACTTTATATGGCTCCAAAGCTTGACCACTGGGACCTTGTGTTGAACCAAATTGCTGTTGTGAAATGAGAAGTGAAAACGACAATTAGAATTCGGCCTTCCCTTCCAAAATTATTACACTCAGGTACCTTAATTTTATGCTATACAAGCTAACTGTGGTACAGTTACAAGTTTTTACAGACATTTTTTGCTCAAAATAGCATTGTTATTTAACACTGGCTATTCTTCCTTCGTTGTATGTTTGCGCACACCATGGAGCCAGTCCCACAAGTCAAGTTCAAGAAATCCAATGGGAGAAAAGGAATTCCAGAGATGGTATGAAAAGATTCAATCACAATGACACCGAGGCTGCCAACGTCTTGGGAACATAAGGATGAGTCCTCTCAATAATAATATCTGATACAATGCCTCAGATGTTATATTCAATTACTTGTAGCGCATTCTCCAGAGATAGAATCAAGAGAAAGTCACCACCTTGATTGGACCCAAAAAGTCACCGTCACTAAATGACCCAGGAGAGCAACCAGCAAAAGGTGACATCTGCTCTCACCAAACCGCTCTAAGAGGCAGCTGTCAACCCCTCACACAGCAAGAGCAAGGTGTTTTTCCTTTCACATTCATCTTGTCTACCGCACTGTACAAGGCAGGAGTCAACGCTCAGGGGCCTGACCTAACGTGTGTTATGAGCAGAAACAAAACTGAAGGAACTGAAGACCGGGGCCAACCTCAAATCACTGCTTCAAAGACTCTATCAAGATGCCTGCACAGCGCCTCTCACTGAGCACGGGGACCCGGCAGAAGCCGGAAGCAGCAGAAAATGCAGACAGCTCTCTGACAGACTTCACTTCTAAGTGCTCAAATAGCTGCTTCCAAAACTTCTATTTTAAACTTCTGACTTGAAGTCAAAATTGCATTCAGTCATGAACAGAAAAGGGCATGACTAACTCAGCATGAGTAAGTGCGTTTTTAGAAAGTTGTGCAGTAAAACTAATCCATCTTACCACTGCACTGCCATATGTTTCTTAAGCATTTCTGTCATGCAAATGGATACACACATATACACACACACATGCCCCAATTTTTTTAAAAGTCAAGTTCTTAACAATACCTGAAAATGGTTCCGTGGAGGATCTGAAAATCTAACGACACTGGCCGGCTGGTTACCAGGCTCCTGCTGCTGGCCACTGGCGTATGGCCTGCGGTGCTCGGGCGGGAGGTACAAGTCGGTCTGTTCGCCTCTGCCTGGAGGACTATAGCCACTTCCGCCTGCGTCCCTACCCTCTTCGGGAGGGAAGCCCGGATGTCGGTCTTCAGTTTTACTTTGACTTTCTCCCCAGCCGTTGCCACAAGCCTGTCCAACATAAGCCGGAATTTCATTACGGTGTATTAAACAAGGGCAAAACCAGCACTTTTCCTGGCCATACCAGAGACTCACATCTGCACTCGAAGATCGGGGCAGCACCTGACGCTTATCCCAGGTCAGCTCCAGTCGCTCGGAAGGATGCGGACTGAGAAAGGAAAACAAAAGCATCGGTAGTTTAGATTTGACATTTACCATTTATTTAGACAGAGAACGCAAAGAAGAACCCGAAGAGTCTAATGTCTATGTTCTACCATGTTGTCCTTCCCTGCAGCCTTCACCCCAAAATTTAAGAATCAGAATGCAATTGCATGATCATGTACATGATTATGAGCTGCAAAGGATTAAAAGAAAAAGCCTTAGAAAATGCAAACTGCAAGGGTGCGCGACCCAGGTCCTTACTGTCCCTCCAGGCCATGCTCGCTGCAGTCTGAGTCCTGGAGCTCGGGGGAGGAGAGGTCATCGTCCAGCATGTCGTGAGGAAGGTCTGTGAGCAGCTGCTGCAACTGAGGCAGGAGAGGCGTCAGCACCCCACGGCGCAAGGTCCTGGGGGCCACGGACGCTTCCACACCTCCCTCACCAAGTTCTTAAATTCCACAAGGATCATGCCCATCCCTCCCCTCAAGGAAAGGGGAACATACAATATCCGGATTTATGTTACAGGGTTTTATCTTCTACCAAGACCTTGGGCTTAAATATACCTATTACAAGAGAACTGAAAAACTTCCTTATGGAAACACAACAAGTGAGCACAGTGGTGCGGTCACTGTGTTCCGCTGTCATGGGCACACTGGAGTCTTGGGGTCCTGTATTAGCAGTAATCCGACCTCGGGGACCTGGGTGGCCAGATGCACTCTGCCAGGTGCGGAGAACGGCACAGCAGGTGGCCTGGACGCCCTTAAGCTCCCATATGTGACAGTAAACCCTTGGGGAATCCCTAATTAGTAGACAGTCACCTAACTGCAGAGATGAGAAGACACACAATACTCTGCCCCAATACAACCTTTGAGTCCCAGGACGCCGGGAGCCTCCGCTTGCTACACAGCACTCTCTCAAAAGCAGATGCGAAAACCTAGGGAGCAACTCCACTGCGCTCGCAACTGTATTCCAGAAAAAGCATCTTTTTAGCATCCTACCTCTAAGTGCTAATAAATTCAAGATTCACGTACATGTGATAAAAGAGGATGCTGAATTTCAGCATCAGCAATCATTGGGACCTTCTTCAAGTCCCAATACATGGTCCCAAAAATGTAACATTCAGAGGATTCAAATACTATGCTGCAGACAACACTTAAGGGGACCACTTCTCAGGGGTCCTCTCACTACCAGGCGGGGGTGGGCGAGCTCAGCGATGGGCGCTCACTGACGCAAGGCCTGCGCCATGGCCCCAGCGCTGAAACAAAAAGGAGAAGAAACCAAGCACCAGTTTAATTCCCAAGCTGACTAAGTCCCTCCAGAGTCTATAAATCAGTCCCATCAAATTACAGAGTGAGTGAAATTCAAAGACATAACATATGCCGTGAACCCAGGGGAAAGGGGTGCCCTTCTTCTGCGGCAAGTGAGGGCTTTTGTTCTTATTTTCTACTTTCCCTGGCACTTAACAAACTGGAATATTGGCACAGTAAACATCTACACTCTGGGTCTACAACATTTTTAAAACTTTCTTAAATAACACATATGGTAAAAAATAAACATGCCCTAAGGTTCGGGGAGATGGCTCAGTGGAATAAGTGCTTCCCTGGCAAGCGGAAGGACCTCAGTTGAATCCCCGGTTCCGCAAATAAATAAATAATAAATAAATAAATAAATATGTCGTAAGAAAGTCCTAGGTAGAACGCCCCAAACTGCTGCCCGTGTGGTGCTGAAGCGGGAGCCAGGGTGGGCACGGCACGCGCCTCGGAGGGGAGCACGCGTCCTCTCACCGCCCTGCACACTGCTGTGACTCCTGGATTACAAAAAACAGATTTGCTTAGTCCATCTGGTTTTCAAAATGAAACAAAAGAAAGATATGCTTTCAACTGAAAAGTGATTTTCACCTTTATGCTTGACACTAACGTGAACAACTGAGATCTTGATTTATTGCTACCTGGTCATGCAGGACAATCAAAAAGTACTTTTGAGAATTAGCCATATCGGAGTTGACCCAAAATACCAAAATCAGCACTCGCGCACGCGTATACACACACACACCCTCCACTAAAAATGAAACAACACATGAAGATATAAGTACACTGCTTACTTCAGATAGCAGAACAATTTTACATACACAAAATGCACTAGGAAAAAAAGCACACACCAGTGGCGTCCTGCCAACAGCCCAGCCCGTTCTACTCGTGCAGCTCTGCATTAAGGAAAACCACACCACACGACACACACACACAACACACAACACAAGGAAAACGACAGCAAAGTGAACCTTTATACTTACTGGAAGGAGTCCTGCACAGAAAGAATATTTCCTTCTAAAGCCTCGGTGAGGTTCACGCATGTAGCCTTATAATCCCGGGGACACGTGACAGGGCCAGCTGAACAGGACATTTCCCCCTCACACTGACAGGAAAGCCCACCCAACACTGAAGCACTTACTGCAGCTTTGTGCTATCACAAAACTAATAAAATTGGCTTCCATGTTAGAAAGTTAGTTTATGCACAAGTTGTTAGCAGAATGCTTCTGGGTCCGCAGCTGCTCAACTAGCAAATTCCATCCCTGTGGCACTTGAGTCTGATGTTGAACGAATATATTAAAATTTTTAATAGCTTAGTTCACCTGCAGAAGACGTCTCCATCGAGGTCTCTGGCCTGGCTGGGTCTTACCTATTCCTCACTTCTCTACCTTCAGGCCAGAGAGAAGCTAAAGGAGGACAAACGCCTCCCGCCCAGGGAAGGCCACTCAGGAGGGAGTTCCACCCTACCCAGAACCTGGGGGCGAACTGCATCCTCCCCATCCCTGCCCACGAACAAGTTTTGCTCCTGGTTATTACGTCTCACACCACAAAACACAAAACTGCCATGCTGGCCCACGTGTGTTACCAAATAGAGAATTTTAGAAAATATTAATTTTCTTCATTAAATAAACACTAACTTCCATACATGGATTTAAGGACAAAAAATAAAAAAGATAATCCTTATGAGTGACAAGATTTAACCCCACTCATAAATTTCAAAGGGCCAGCCAAATAGCTCAGTGGATTAAGCACCTGCAAGCAGGCGCAGGGGCTGGGGGTTCTATCCCCGGCCCTCCGTGCTGGCCCCACTCCTGGGCTGGGCTACACTGAGATGGCAATTGAGACTGGGCGTGGTGGACCATGCCTGTAATCCCAGCTCTTGGGAGGCTGTAAACAGGCGGATCACTATGAGTCCGATCTAGTAGTGAGACCCTGAACACCCTGTAGACCCTTCCCTAAAATGCAATAAATAAATAAATAAATTTCAAATGCAACAGATTTTTTGGGCAGCAAGTACCACAGGGGGATACTGTGGTCTACCAGCTAAATTCAATAATTTAAGAAATGCCTTCCCCCCAAAAAAGAATCTGCCACTGTTAAAGCTGCTTCTGAAATAGTCCCAAAACTCCTGACCCTGGAAAGAAACCTTTGTTCTATACAATCAAGATTATATGAATATATATATATATATATATATATTCCCCAAAACTAACATAATCATAATGTATTCAAAACATATACCAATAAATAAATGCATAACTTCTCTTCCTTTACTCTGTTTCTTTCCTAGAAAGGACAAAAGCTGCCTTTAAATCAAAGAGCTTCCTCAGCAAAACGTTTCACAGTACCCTTATTTTCAGGGAAGAAGGAAAGCAAGACAGAGACAGGTAAACCCTGTTAGGATTTGCAACTTCAATTAACTAAACAGACTGTGGTCTTAGGCCCTGTAATCCCTGGTGCTCACGAAGGCAAGTGTTCTCAGATTACAAACCACAAGAGAGTCTTCTCCCCAGAGAAGAGCAGCGGCCAGAGCGGCCACCAGTCCACCAGTCGCCTTCCTCTGGAGCAGCTAGAGGGCATGCACACCGCTGCGAAGAGCCTGCTCTGGTAAGCAGTGCGCGCTGAAACAATGCCTTCACGGGGATCTGCAAAGCAGGGCCTGTCTTAACCCAAGAACCAAATTTAAAATCTACTCACAAAAGCACAATCTGGGAAGGTCAAAGGCCCAAAATAGCTTGGCAGCTACGTCTTTAGCTTATGAATTATGGTGTGTTCAAATGCAAAAAAAAAGGGGGGGAAAGGAAATGTGACCGTCCTTGAAAAAGACCTGTACAGTAGGGGGAACCCACAAGACACGATCCAGGAACAGAGTAGAAATGGCTACAGACAGGCATAAGAAAAAATATATTAACACGCAACCATTTGGTTCTTGAATTTTTTGATGGAACAAAAAATCCCACTGAGTAAGCCAAATAATATGGAATGTAAATAAAACGGCTTTACAACTCCCTCTAGTAGAACAAGACACAAAGGGTCCCCATAAGCACATCAACAAGGCAGGAAAGAGGGAGAAAAAAAAAAAAAAGAGGGAGAAGCAGGCGGTAGGAGCCATGGCTCTGGGCACAGGACGGCCAGGAGCTGCTCGGTTCCACTGGAGCAGCAGCACTAGGGCCGAGGCGGCATCGCTGGGGCGGGGCGGCTCTGTGTCTGCCAGCTGCTTCCTGCCTCTCAAGATCAGTGCCAACAACCAGTGCCATCAAGCGTTGCCTGGACAGCACAGACAACCAAGTGTTTCGGCCCGCAGTCACTGGTTCCCGGATATGTGCACACACACAGCTCATTGTACTGCCCACAACCAAGAAGAGTTACTTCTGGTAGCACAGCAGAAGGCCGGTGACACTCCCAGAGGACAGCCGACCTGAATAAGCTGTGGCTCTCCAGTAACTTAGAAGCTTAGAATGACCGTTCTCATCACCAAAATGACAACACGCCTGTCACAGCCCACTAAGAAATCATGAGGAGTAATGACTTCAGGTGGAAGCGTTTCTGCAGGGCCCCAGTATTACATCAGGAACAGGTTAAGGGCTTTTGAATTCTCTTGTGGGTCAGCTTTATCAGTAAGTTTGGTTAAAGTAGCCCAGGTGAGTCCTACTACATAGATGACATTGGTGGCTTTATTCTGTTAC